TGTCTGTCCTCGTTAGTGGCCCGCTACTACAGGAGTTTCCCAGTCCGCCGTGCCCACCCACGCTGCAACCACCACCACCGTGTCGAATGTCTAAGTATAAACTTCATCTTCCTATTGACGGGGCGAAATTATGCACCGCGCCACCATCACGGTGCATCGCATCGGAGCCAAGATGGTCAACGGTCCGCTATCTCCACATGCATACCAGCAACACTTGACGTGTTGGCATCTCATACTAGCCAGCCCCATAATCAAACCATGAATGGAGTCTAGGAAATGCTTTGCCGAGGTTCCTATGACATGCTGGATCATCGCGAGTCTAAGCTCCTCCTGACACGGAGCCCAGGAATCTTGATCCATCCGGTCAAGATGCAGGGCATTTTCGACAGTTTGCCTGCCTTGTGGTGGATACGCTCCTGGCAGATGTCTTTAGTGCTTGCTTGGCATGACGAGCAGGAGGCATTTTGTTGACGGTTAGGCTAATTTCGCATCAGGAGGGTATGTCCCGAGTGCGAGTTTCGTGAAGTTGATTTGCCTCTTCCGGTACTGCCGTCCAAAGACCAGGAGAAACGGGATATTCGACCTCCCCCTCCGTTCTAACGGATTCTTTCACATCCAAAGCCTCACTCTTCATCATAGTAATTGACTTCTTTTATTCCACATCACTGCTAGCGCAAAACCCCTATGTCTTACCATACGATGGCTTGATTCCGCCGTCGAAGGTTTGGCTAGCAGAGCCTCACTTATCTTGCGCTGTGGTATAAGTCGACCGTGAAAGAGGTCGCACATGGATAGGAAAATGGGCTGTAGGGTAGGGCAATTGAAGGAACCAAGAGATTTAAACAAGAGGGCGGAAAATCTCAAGATCAAGTTTGTAATGCGCGTTCTCAGGTGCTGGGTGCTGGATGCCGACATCGCCTACTTTGATACAAGATATTGCTCTGAATCATGTCGCGAAGGCTGCATGAGTCGTGAGTATGCCAAGAGGATGATATGGAACGGGGTCGATTGGACATCGCGCTTGGCGCCTATATGCAGCTCATTGAGCTTTTATTCTCCCACTTTTAAAACAAGAATAGACCGAAATCTGTTTGAACATCATCTCCATGTTGTTGGTATGTTGCACCTTCTTGGATAACATGCTTGAATACGTTGTTGATAAACTTCCGATATGATGCTTTGTCATCCGGCCGGTTGATAGGAAACAGGAACCCAAGTTGCACAACGGCTAAATAACGGAAGTGAATTGCCGCCACGGTACCTGTCACGTGCTACAGTTTCAATCCCTGCGTCATCGCTGGTGGGTCACAGTCGTTGAACGTGGCTTCAAGCTCCATCAACCGATTATCAGCTATCCAAAGCATCCTCAACGCCTTTATCACCAAAGTTGCGATGGTGAAGACGGGGATGTAGCCGCATTTCGGAATACCTCAAATCTGATATTGCGACCCCATTGCCCATGTCAAAGATGCGTTTAGGCTGGTATGCCGGGGTAAGTGCGCACAAGGCCACTCCATACCTGAAATGGAGCTTGAAGCTCTGCAGCACCTCTATCAATGACAATAGCTAATGGCAGGTCCAGGCCTCATCGGCCCTTGCGGGATCGGTGGTTCTATCGGCCTTCTATCAGAGGTCCAACTTCTACTCGGCCATGGTTTATCTCGCCCAGAGTAATTTCTGTCTTTTGGTTCGTTGCATGTAGTCGCACACAGCCCCCGCAACCCATATATTGACATATGAAATAGATACTCCTAAACTTTACTCTTATTGTCTACAGCAGTTTCTTGTATAGCCTTACGCGACTATGTTTTGGCCGATTGCGAGCTGTCGAGATCGAGCAGCTTACCGAAAGAGCCTGGTTCGCCATCACCGAGACCTGCCTTGCCATGACGATATTCCGGGAAGAGATTGGTGCTTGGTTTCTTGTTATGTTCACGGCTTTGGTGACCGGAAAAGTCTGGGGCTGGATAGGAGACGGCCGAGTCGAGGTCCTCGAACAGCAGCCTCCAGCAAACCCCCGCCTGTTCCATCTGCGCCTCAGCATTTCTCTCGCCGCAAGCTTCATTTACGATGTCTGGCTGCTCCGTTATACCATCAATACGGTCATTCAACAAGCGCGTCCTAATATGATGGTGATGTTCCTGTTCGAGTTCGCCGTTTTGGCCACATGTTCATGGCGCACCGGTGTTCGCTACCTGCTCTCAATCACCGAGCAAAACATCGTCAAATCTCAGACTCAAAAACGCCTGCTGGAGAGAAGGAGGGAGGTGAGAGAGCAGCGTTTGGCGATCCTCAGGCAACGAGAGCAAGCTGAAGCCGCCGGTGAAGAGTCGCCGGCAAATCAGGAACCTCTGCCAAATGAGGATGATGTTGACGAGATGGACATTGAAGTTCCAGGCTGGGCATCCAAAGGCGAATGGGTACTTTGGCTTGACTTGATCACCGGTATGCCTCCTTTTGCACCTTCATATTCCAATCTGTTTCTAACCAAGAACTTTCAGATATGATCAAACTTGGGATTTACGTTGCCTTTTTCTTCATGCTCCTCATGTTCTATGGTCTCCCGATTCATATCATCAGAGATCTATTCATGACATCGAGAGATTTCTTGAAACGGTTGACCGCGCTCCTACGCTACCGCCGTGCTATTCAGGAAATGAATCGTTATCCCGATGCCACAGAAGAAGAGCTGGCCCAGGAGAACACGTGTATCATTTGCCGTGAAGAGATGCGGCCTTGGGACCCGGAAAATACGGGTGCTGTTGATCGTACCCGTCCCAAGAAGCTACCATGTGGCCACACTCTACACCTGGGTTGCCTCAAGAGTTGGCTTGAGCGCCAACAGGTGTGCCCGACCTGCAGAAGCCCTGTGACTGTCGACCGGGCACGGGCTTTTCCCAACCGCCGAATAGGTCTTAGGATCCAAGTTGGTGGTAATGGCCAACAGGGTGCTGCACAGCAAGGTGCGAATGCTCATGACCCTGGTGCAGCGGACGGACAGCAGCAGCAGCAGCCGCAACAAGCTCCAGGCCCCCAAGATAATCAGCAACCCGAAAACAGACCCCGTATCTTTAACCTCGGTCCCCTCAGGCTGGGTTTCGGTGCCAATGGTGCACAAGTTAGGGAGCTTGCACGTCAATTTGGAGCTCAGCCTGGAGCAGGCAATGTTGGAGCAGCGCCAGCTGTACCAGCCGCACCATCTCCAGGAACAACGGCACAACCACCACCCCCGAGCGATAACCTCCAGAATGCCGCGCAACTTCTGCAACAAGCCGAGCAGGCTTTCCAGCGTGAGATGTCTGCCCTCGATCTTAGACTGCGAGAGCTTCAAACATGCGATCTCCTCCTCGCAGAGTTGCAAAGAATCCGCCAGCGCCACGCATTGTTAGATCAAACAACTGCCGTGAATACCCTGCATCAAACAACGGCTGTGAATACCCTGCATAATCAAACAACAGCCGTGAATACCCTGCCTGGCTCATCTCCCAACCTGTCGTTTCCGGCATCCTTGTCTCCTAATACTGGTGGGGTTTTCCCTCATCAAGTGCCGTCGTTCCCAAGCGTTCCGGCTCGGATTAACAGTCCCTTGCTCGGCCGCCATGGAACTACTAGCTACACAACAGAAATCCCTGCCGGAAGCCCTGATCTTCCAGATGGCGTCGTGATCCCACCAGGCTGGTCGCTCATGCCGCTCCAAAGACTGAGCGGTATTCAGCCTCCTCGGCAGCCTTCGCCCCATCCTGGCCCTGCCCCTCCATCGGCACCCAGCACCGAACCCGAGAGTGGTGCTTCCCTGGCTGGAGATGCCCACGGTCGTTCCGTGAGACCTACCGAAGCCTCCAGCGATGCGCATACCTCGCGTTCAATCCCCGCTGTCCATACGAGCCGGACAACTGCAGACACACCTGTAGTTAGCCCAAGCCCTGTGCTGCCAAACTGGGGTGGCCCCGCCCAGCTCTTCGGAACCAGTGCACGTCTTGACGCGACGTCCGCGACGTCCGCGATGGAGTCGCAACTTGAGCCAGCTGCCCAAACCGCTGCTGAACCAACCTCGGCGGAGCAATCTTCCCAAGATACCCAGCAGCCTTCAGCTGAGAAAGACGGCAAGGGCAAAGGCCGGGCGGTGACCGTTGAAGAAGTCCCCGAGGCTGACGATGATGAAGACGAAGATGACAGCGAGGATGAATAGATGCGATAGCGTCTTGAGCGCAAACGATGCGCTTGCATTTATCGTTCTGGTATGGAAGGGAGCGGTGGAGGATGGTGTACTTTTCTTAAAACAAGACTGCACAGCATTAAAGCATCTTTATCTTCTTGCTGTTTGCTGTGTTACTACGTGTTCTATCATAGGGAGGCGAAAAGGGCTGAGCAGGTGGACGAGGTGGCTCCCATAAGCATAGCACATGTGCGAATTTTGGCGTTTGTCTTCTTTTCTTGGTACTCGGATGATAGCATGATACAGTCGCATTAAAATGCTCAAATGAATCCGACAATGCCCTCACTCATATACAATACATTGATAGATACAAATCTCTCCTCACAGGATGATGATAAGACGAACATTGACAATCAAGTAAAAAACCTCTTGCCCCGCGAGTGTCTCTAGCCCAACCCTGATGCTATGATATCTACTTATTCATCTCCATCTCCAGATGCTTCCTGCCAAAACTACACTAATTTCTTACAGAATTACCAAAAAATCGGGTTGACACAATTTCCACGTCGGCCAAAATGCCGCGTCAAATACAGAAACCAAAACAAGAATTGGGATGATGATGGAGAATTGATAGTACGTGATTAACCAAGAAGGTAAATGCTTCGCTGAAAGGGTGGGTTCGAAATCGGGAGCACTAGGAGATACCAAGCCAAAGCCTGTGCTCTGATCCTACACTTATTTCCCGTCGCTTCGATGTAGAGGGCTTGAATTCGGTTGTCGACTAAATACTGGGGCGCTACCAGTCAAATTGACATCCCTCGAGCACTCTCGTTCCCGAAAGCAATTATTCAGGAGCTTTTGATTTAGGCTTGGCCATGGGTGATTCGAGCAAGCCTCCATGCTGTCTCGGGGCCTCCCTAGGTGTGCCTCGAGGTGCGTCATGGGGCAATGTTAACTGGAAGGTGCTGTCTGCACTTGATGTGCTTTGTACAGTTCTCTGCAGTGTGCTAACTGGGAGATTTTGGGAGATGAAGCTAGGCGATCTGATGCTTTCTGAGCCAAATGGCAAAGAACGCTTTGGTATGCTGTGGCCCACGTCTTCAACCACACTGTCCACGTTGGCACTGGCCTCTAGCTTAAGCAATAGCGCTTCATATTGCTGCCTGGCCAGCTTTTGGAGCTGGACCTCCGGGTCCTTGAGTGGAAGCAAGAGGTCAGTCAAGTCGCACAAGCAGTCTGTAGGTTGCCATCGTCTGCCATGCACACATACCCAGTCTGACTGCATTGGGACACCTTCCGCCGATGGCAACGGGAGCGAAAGCTCCAATTCCTTGGCATCTGGCTCCTCCTGACCCCAAAAGGACGGCCGCGCAATTGGAGCTGGCGTCACAGGTAAGCTTGGGCGCTCAACCGCGCTTGGGAAGTCTGTCAGCTTGAAAACTGATTTATTAGGATCTCGGCGGTAGCGAGGGCCGGTAACAGCAGCTGGGGAAGAGATGCCCTGCAAAGACTTTCCACGCTGATGTTTTTGTAGTCCTTCAACATAACGATTTATTTCTGGGACTTCGTCCCAGGCGTTGCTCAGTTGAAAAGCGTCCCATGGCTCTGCTTGGACAGTCGATGCTTCGGTAGGTGTGAGTTGGGATGGTAGAGTAGCTACTGAGCTTCCTGTCTCAGTTCCCGTCTCTGTTGAATCTCCTTCCGGTGGCTGTGGCTCAACATGGAGGCCTGATTCAACCGAGCCGCCGACACCGTGTTCAACCCCAGGACCGGTATCCTGAGGGGTGATGACAAAATCTGGAACAACACTTGCGAATGTTCGGGTGGGTGTTGGTTGTTGGCCTTCCCATGGGAACACGGGTTTTGGAGGCTCGGCTGGTGGTGCTGGGGGGACTGTCGGCACCTCGTACCACATATTCTTTGGGGGGCTAGGATAGCGTGGTGGGGGGACAAAAGGTGCAGCGTCTTGCGACATTTCATAGTGCGTAGATGGGAAGTTGATGGCCTCAGGGGCAGCGTCAGCTGGTGGTGGCTGCCTGGTTTAAAAAGATTAGCAACTAGAAGCGGGGACAGGGGACTCCATCTGCCTTACCTTTGAGCATCCCAACTGGACATTGCTACTTCCGGTTTATGTTCAGGCTGCGTATCTTGCGGTGGTTGAGTCCCGGCCTGATCATGGGTATGATGGGCGTGGTGAATGTGTTGTCCATCATCATGGGTTGAGGCGCTTCCCGGTCCTGGTGGGTGCTCATGATGAACGTTTTGTTCGCCATCATGGGTTGGAGCGCTTCCTGGCCCTGGCGGGTGTTCATGGTGCTGGCCGGGTTGAGCTTCTTGGTGCCATTCTTCATCTGGTTTTTGGTGATCACCGTGGCCTTGATGACCTTCATGCTCTTGGTGTCCCTGGTGCCCCTGATGACCTTGGTGACCCTCGTGGCTTTCATGGCCTTGGTTCCAATGCGCCTGTTGGCCTTGCGATCCTTGGTAACCCTGAACGTGATCATGATGATGTGGATGACCCTGTGAACCTGGATGCGTCCATTGCTCCTGATGGTCCTGAGGCCCCTGATTAGCTTGGTTGCCTTGGTCCTGTCGGTGGCCCTGGTCCTGCCGGTGGCCTTGTCCAGTGCCTGCCTGCAGAAGTGCCGGCTTTGCCCGAAATTCACCTTTGGTAAAGTACTGGACATATGTAGAAGCAGAGCCTTGCACGGCCTGGCCTGAGGATTGTTCCTGAACCGCATTGTTAAAATGAAACTGGATCATGGGATGCTCAGGCAATTTATATATGAGAGATGAGACGAACCTGTGCTCTGTAATGCCGATCATATACTGCCCACCATCTTCCAATCATGTCATCGAAAGGCGAATCGTCATGTTTGGCATGGCGACCTGCAAACCAGGGTTTATTGGGGCCAATGAAGTGAACCATGTTTATGCTGGACTGGAAGTGGCGGTAGGCCGGTATGTATTGATAATGCGCAGAAGGAGTGACGTTGTACGCGAAGCTAAGACGGTGGTAATTGTCCTTGAAGTGCATATTCAATAGACCTTGGTCGGCACCGTCAAACGAAATGCCTCTTTCGGCCATTGCCAACATTGCATAGAAATCGCCGAGGTTGGGTGTCAGTACCATGACACCCGAATTGAACAGGTCAGGCCATCCGATGTCGGGTGCAGCAGCGAACGGCTCAGCAATGTCGAACAGCTCATCTGGGGCACGATAGGCGACCACATCAGCGTCGATATACACTACCTTGGAGAACTGGATCTGCTTCCAGAGATTGATCTTGGTGAAGGCTGAGTGAAGATCAGCGCGGTTCATGAGATAGAGATTGGCTGGCTTCTCATTGCATATCCGCGGAACAGGCAAGACATGGTCGTAGATGGTCTGGTCCATGGCTGGTCAGCACTGCATACCTACTCATGGTCTGCTTCTTAAAGGAGCCAACACAGTAGAAGAGAAGGTCCGATTACCTTGAGCTGAGTTATGGATTCCGCAGAGACCGTGTCGAGGGTGACTAAAACCACCAGCTTCTTGGTCGTTCCGGCATCGCGCAACGAATGGGCAAGCACAAGAGCTCCTTCACGAAGGGAGAGGTTAGTGGGGCGCAAAAGCTCGAGAGCGCCAATGCCACGTACCTGGGAGATAGGAATCGCTCAAGAGAAGCTTTGGAGACGAGCCAAGAGTCGAGCGTTAGCGAATGGATTGCCCTCAATCGTGTCCTACACAATTGCTTCGGCGACAGTGGGGGAATACAAACCGTTGCGTACACATGCTCCCCCCCACTCGCCATTGTAGCCTTAGAGGCGAACAGCCATGGACGAAGCGCGACCGCTTGGGAGAAGCAAAAGTCGATCCCGACGGTTCTGGGGGAGGCGCTGTCAGGAATGAAGGCGAGTCACTGGGCGAGCAGAGTCGGAGTGGACGGGGTGGTAATAGGGAGGTATGAAGAGAGAGCTCGAAATTGACGATGGCCTTCAATGTTTACGGATGGGTTGGGCTGTACATAAAATAATGGCAGGCAGGTGGCACCCGCGATTGCTGGTGCAGTTGCCAGATTGGTACCGACCGTTACGACATATGTACCTCACGACTGCAAGCACCTCCCACGGCGGCGGATGTAACTTCCGGCCAGAGCCAAGTACAGCACGTGGTTCGCGCCAGAGACTAGCGGCTGTGGCAAGGGGATATACGAACAGCCCGTAATCTTATAAAAACAACGGCCCTCTCCTCGGCTTGCCTTTGCGTCGGCAGTTTCTCCCTCACTAGGTACTCCCTCGTCCACGACGCTCAAGGGCGGATTGACATCCAAAACCAACGCGAGGGCATATCTTGGTGGTCAGGTGGTATGTACATCTGCTGGCGTCCACAATAGTGCTCGCTACTGCACGTAGCTCGTACCCCAGACTGGGTGGGTTGCATAAATGCATCATAGGGGGGCAGCTCGCAGGCTCATTCGCGGGGCTGTTGCATTTGACGTGCATTGCATTGGATGCAATTATATCCATATCCGCCAGTGATTTCTCCAGCCTGCCATTACGTAGTGGGCCAGTGTTGGAGTGGAAGTGGTCAAAACAACAAACTCTCCTGACTCGCCCAGCTCGCTCCATTAGAGACAAGCTATATAAATATATCATTAGATGCTGCCATGGTAGAATTACAACCTGTGAGGTCTTGCGAAGCCCGATGCCGGCCGTAGTTGCAGCTGCAGGTCCTCGCCAATGATTCATAACCCTGCCTGTTTCAGGAGAGCCGTCTACACACCCTCTTGCAGGCCAAGACGCAATATGCAGGCCAGGAAACTTTCTTCTATCGAGTCTGCATGATTGAAATTAGCCTTGGCTAGAAAGACGACACAAATGGAAAGCGCTGCAAGGTATTGGACCACCCTGCAGCGACAACACCCACCTATCCTCGATTTAGCTGTGGCGCGGTGGGCGGAATGGCCTCATTCACCATTCTAAGTTTTATCTAACATCCAAATGCCACCCTGGCTCATCTTTTCAATTTTCCTCACGGTTACCTTAATTTCACAGTACGAGCCTTGAGTATTCTGTTGATTTCACTGAAGAAATTTATTTTCATCTCTTTCTGATAATATTATTAGCTGACCGAATGTCTCCCGCTGTGTAGGCAAGTGATTAACCAGTTTTAGATCTCGTCTATCAATCCAGCCGTCCAGCCTTCATGGCCGCTACCAGTGTTTTCAACTGCGGATCGGGGCCCTCGAACAGCTTCTCGCAGTCCTGCTCCAAACTCTGGGCCATGTCCTTGCAATGCTCGACATACTCCTCCATCTCAGCTACAAGTTCGGGTTCCAGCTCCCAAGGCTGCCCATCCCGATGCAGCTTGTAGAGCACGTCGTAGTAAAGATAATCAACGTGGCAGATGTGCTGGAGGGCGTAATGGAACCAGAACCGCCGGCTGTTCCAGGACTCGAGCATGAGCGTCGACAACGCCTTGGGGTCCTCGGGGTGGGGGGCTACCCCTTCCCATCCCATCCGCTGTTCCGCCCGTGCTTCGACCTTCTTCATGGCTTCTATGAATTTCGGTAGAGCCGCCTCGTACTTTGTGATATAGGTGTTTAGATCATGTCTACGGATGTAATGGCTTGGGGGAAGACCGATAAGCCATGGAGGCGGATCGGACAAGAATGCACGCATCGTGAAATTTGAAAACTCGACGTTGAAGACGCTTGTGATCCTGCCAGTTCCCGGGTCGTAGAACATCTTATCTGGATTCAAGTGTGGGACGAACGGAACAATATGAGTATAGTGGTACTCTTCCATGTCTGTGTAGAGCTCGTCCATGAGCTCCGTAAATGAGTGACGGGCTCTATAGCGGAGACGGGCGCACTTTGCAATCTCCTCTGGGTCGATGTTGGGATCCTTTTCGCGACGAGATCTTCCCAATGTGCCGGGTTTGTCTAACCGCCTTGGTGAATTCAAAGTACGCAGATCCCAGAGAAACATCCTCTGCTCACTGGCCATACGCTGAAAGTAATCCAGAGGGAATTGGTAGGGCGCGTCAAGGAACGGTGACGAAGGCCACTCCGGTATTCCCTCGCTCTGTAGGTACATATCAGACGTAAAAAGACGCTTGGTACCCTCCCATTTCCCATTGCTGTCTCTGCCAATTGAGCCGATATCATAGACATTCTGATGTCGGAGCTGAAGGTAGAACAAAGCAAACTCTTCGTAGATCTTGGATCGTATTGTGTCAGATTCGGATCCTGAGTCCGGCAAAGTGGCCAGGTATTCACTGAGTATTTGTCCGTGTTTTATCACGTCCATTAAGATAAAGGGAAGATTGAGAATAGGTACCAAGTCAGAAGCATCCTTGCTGAAGCTATAGATGTGTGGGATGGGTATGCTCGTATCGGCAGAGAAGTATTCCATCCACTCGCCCTCGTTGGTTATCTTTTCCGCCTTTATGGAAATACTACTGCCGCCTGGGTAGGGAACACGGAGCAAAACGAGAGATCCGTCAGAGAAGGCGAACTCGAAGATGAAGTGGCTGCGGCCTTCGGATGTGCTCTCATGGGTAGCTGGGCCTCGGTCTTCCCCTATTCGACTGGCGACAAACTCCTCTAGGGCTTTGATAACACTAGGCTGGCTGAACGAGTCTTTCATTCTCAATCTCTCGGACTTGGCGACAGCAGTGTAAGCCGTATCCCATTCGACTTCAAAGTAGCCAGGCTCTAACCCTTCTAAGTAATCCACCATGCTGAGGGTTTTGATTGCAGGGAACCTAGAATGGGCTGGTTCAATAACCAGGTGATATTGACGAGTTTCTCAGTGAGGGCAGAGGTAATGGCAGAATATCGAACGCCTAACTATGCATTGGTGCGGTTTGGTGTTGACTTTAGATGTAAGGTGATATGATGGCCACCAACAAACGGAGTTTCATGTTAGCGCCTGGGACGAATAGCTCACATATGATTACGGTAACTAGCGGCTGCAGCCTGTAGCTCAGCCCCGCTGCTATTATGCACTCGCCTATTTCCAGTTTGGCTACCAACGGCAGGGATGCAATGCTGCATGACCAACAACCAACAGCACAACCAACAACTCAACCAACAACGCGCCCCAGTACCTAAATATGGAATTCTGCTTGCTATTTCCTGTGGAGAGCCGCGATCTAGTGACAAAAATTTTACATGCTAAAAATATCATCCATAGATGCCCCGATTCATCTAAGCTGGCGCGTTGCACCTTGCGCTGCCACACTTGAGGATCACCAATGCAGACATTACTCTACGATGCTTCTTCCGTTTTCTGCCTAGAAGGAACCGCAATTGTCTTACTATGTGCATTAGCGGAGGAGTTGTCTTCTCCTTCTTCCATATGTCCTACATTATAGCCTGCTCTCATTGGCAACGAGGGCAGCAAATCAACATCTCGAAGCAACCTTTCCCTCCATTCCCTTCTAGCGTTAGTGTAATCTGTGTTTTCTTTTACGCTTGTCTTCTTGAAGCTGGTGTAGTGATGCTTAAAATAAGTTGGGCTAAGAGAATGGCCAGACTATGTCGTCTTCATCGCCCGATATACTATTGCTATATAAGAAACCTATAAATCCCTAAGTTCCAATTCAAACGGCTCGTTCAATAAACTTATCACAGGAGATTATATCTTTGCGCTCAGAGCCAGGTCTCTGTAAATTACCATACCGCCTCCAGTCGGTTTTCTTTCTTCCCTCCTTTTTTCCTATATCTTTTTCTTAGAGGACTTACCATCATGGTGTTGGTAAAACATCTTTGCTTTTCAACCCTCCCACTTTTACTTGCTGTTTCCGGAACTAGCATTGGGGCTTCGCATTTCTCAAGTGAAATCTCCCGATCCAAGCTTAACGTCCGAGATGAATATGCCTATATTGGCACCCGCGATAATGAAGTCAACCTTAGGCTGCGCGCAGATAGTAGAGATGGCCAATCACTCCAACTCCGCAGGCCAATGAGACAAGAGCGACTCGAGAAGCGAGCAGCGAAGGGTCGAGCGAAGCCTGCTGCTCCAAAGAAAGTTGCCACTCCTAAGAAGGTTGCTACTCCAAAGAAACCGGTCACTCCAAAGAAAGTTGCCACTCCTAAGAAAGTTGCTACTCCTAAGAAGGCTGCTACTCCAAAGAAAGCTGTTACTTCTAAGAAAGCTGCTGCTTCGAAGAAGGCTACTCCTAAGAAGGTCACTACTCCTAAGAAAGCTGCTGCTTCGAAGAAGGCTACTCCTAAGAAGGTCACTACTCCTAAGAAAGCCGCTGGAATCAAGAAGATCACCATTCCAAAGAAGGCTGCTACTCCAAAGAAAGTTGCTCCAAAGAAAGCTACTGGTCTCAAGAAGCCTATCGGTTCCAAGAAGGCGGCAGGTCATAAAGCTGCTTCTCCAAAGAAGCTCGCGGTAAAGACTCATGCCAAGAAAGTCGGTCCGAAGAAGGCTGCCGGTCACAAGAAGGCTACCGGCCACAAGGCTGCCGGCCACAAGAAGGCTACCGCTCCCAAGAAAGTCGCTAACCCTAAGAAGACTGTAGCTTCTAAGGGTACAGGCCGAGGGAAAGCTGCAGCAAAGAAGGCTTCAACTAAGACCGGCACTAAAAAGTCCAATGTCAAGAAGACTCCATCCAGGAAGGTCGGCACCAAGAAGTCTGCTGCTAAGGGTGTTGGCAAAAATTCTGGAAACAAACATTCCGGGAAGAAGTTGCCTGGAAAGAAGACGCCTGGAAAGAAGACGCCTGGAAAGAAGACGCCTGGAAAGAAGACGCCTGGAAAGAAGACGCCTGGAAAGAAGACGCCTGGAAAGAAGACACCTGGAAAGGAGCATCCCGGAAAAAAGAGTTCTATCAAAGCCAATGGCGCTAAGAACCCTTCTGCTAAGAAGACTCCTGCTGGGAGTACTTCCAAGTCGGTCGATTCCACCAAACCTAAGCCGGCCACTCAGCACTGTAAGCGAGGCCCGGGTGAGGAGGGGGAGAGCTGCAAGACGCCTGGGATAATCGGGTCCACGTTTCAAAAGACCAAGACTGGCTTTGGGAAGCTCTTGCGAAAGGACAAACCCAAAATAGATAAGGCCACGATTGGAAAGCCAAAGTTGGAGCCCGCCCCTGGGACGCAGACAGGCCAACAGAGTGGCCAACAGAGTGGCCAACAGAGTGGTCAGCAAAGCGGCCAGCAGAGCGGACAACAAAGTCTAGAAAGCAAGAAAAGAGTAGTAGACAAGTCCGAGATTAGCAAGCCACAGCCTGACAAAGGATCATCAGCAGACTTTATGCAGATATACAACAAACCCCAAGAGGGGCAGACAGGCGAACGAAGTGGCCAGCAGAGGCAGTCGCACGGATCATCAGGTCAAGAGACAAGCGGATCAATACCCCTTATGATCAAAGGCTCGTCTTCAGGGCAGCCGGGTGAGCAGAGGGGGTCACAGAAATCGACGAGCCAGGAAACAAGCGGCTCGATACCAATCATGAAGGCAGACTCGCCTGTAGATCAGACGAACCGGTTAACAACGGGCTCATCGTCAACCGATAGTGGGCCGATATATTTGGAAGATCATTTAGGGAATAAGGTGAATTGAGAACGAACTGTAGGAAATTCCAGGGTGATGCATTAACAGAGAGCGCATTGCCATTGAGAATATACATCAATTTTCGACCTATAGTCTTATCATAGCAACTAAATTACCCCTTGTTGCCGGTTTTTAAAGATCCTTCTTGAACGCATGCTCCGGCTTGTGAGTAGTCTCGTAGTCAATGTGAACATATGCCCGCTCGATATCCGGCAAGCTCTCAAGCTTAAATTGCAGGGCTTCGGCAACATCATGTGTAGTCATCAAGGTGCCTGTCGGGTCCATGACGATATCAACTTCGGCAATCAAACGCGGGCCGGAGTGGTAGACACGAACAGTGTCGATCCCCTGGATAGCGTCCGAGTGGGTCAGGCAGACGTAGGTGATGAGCTGCTGCATGTCGACGGACGAAGCAACTCCGACCAACAAGAGGAACTCGCCAAACGCCGTGTGCAGCCAGATGCCCGAGATGAGGACGGACAGGATGATGGCACCCATGGGATCGATCCACCAGAGCAGCTTGGCGCCACCAACAGATGTCAAGACACCAAAGCCGTTGATGAGCAAGTCATTTCGGTGGTCCTGCCAGAGAATGTTGACCTGGCTGTACTTGTCCTTGATGGCCCAGCAGTAGAAGAACAAAGCAAGCTTGGTGCCAAATGCGATGCACACGGCAATGACAGAAGGGAGGAAGAACGTCTTGTCTTCCTTCTTCTGTACAAGTTCCTGGCAGGCAAAAGCAATGATAATGAGAGACACGGCGATCATGAGAAAACAAAAGACGATGTTTCCTACGGTCTCCAGGCGTGCCTTACCTGCGGGGAAGCGGCGCGGGTCGACGCGGGCGACGGCCCGGTTGGACAGAATGAGTGTAAGGTTACTCAGAGGGTCGAAGATGGAATCGGCCATGGTTGTGAACAGCGACAGGGAGCCTGATGAGATGGCAGCATACAGCTGCAGCGCCGAGAGGACAATATTGGCAGCAAAGGATCCCCAAACGGCAATCCGGAACTTGAGCTGGTCATCACCAGCCTCCTGACGAGCCTCTTCCCGGTGCTCTTCCACCGACTTGAGCATACGTTCAATGGCGGCATTCTGATTCTCATAAAAGCCCTGGACCTTGCGGGCGTTGCTCTTGGCACTGATACTGGGGGCACACTGGCTGCGGCCACTGTCCCTCTTACGAGACGTGTTGGCTTTGATCTTGGCCAGGTCGCCCTCGGTCTTGTAGGCTAGCGAAAGGCCATAGGGGTCGTTTTCAAGGTTCACATGAGGGAAGCCTGAGTTGCGACCAGCTGTGATTTGAGATTCCACGTCCTTGGATGCGCCGCCATGGCGAGAAACGGGATGGTCGTGCCCTGCCTCCTGTCCAATAGGCTCAACGCCGGTGCTCTCTGAAATATCGTGGGGGGCGTGGGAGGATCGGCTGCGGCTGCGGCTACTGTGGTCTTGGTGCTGGATATTGTAGATGTTGGGATGATAGGTGATGGTGTTGCTCCCGTCGGGTATCATCTTGTCGAGTAGAGTCGTCAAAGATATCACAATAACTAGCTGTTTCGAATTCTCGTGAAGCTCCCAAAGCTCCGGATGGAAGACAAAGAAGGATGGGAGTCGGCGCCAAAGCTCTCTTTATCACAAGAGGGGATGGTTTAAGGAGGCAAGGAAGAAAGCAGGGGAGAAAATGAGGCCCGGTGAGCGAATTGGCAAAACCTGTAGAGTAAGAAATGCGGAGAGATCATCGGCGCTTCTCGATCAATTAGAGAGATGGAAATGAGTTGTGTGTGATTGGCTGACAGTTGGGGTAGAGCAGCTTCCTCCCTCGTCGCTTCTCTGTAATTGAGGCACGTGGGCACTCGCTGGGGTTTAGCAGCTAAAGCAGGGAGATGGGACATGACGATCACGGTGCTGGTCATCTCGGTCGCGCCTTGGGCCAAGGTTTGAGGGGAGAAATTGAAATGACCTGTCTTGGTGCTCGTGGGACAATGGGCCAGTGTCAATTGCAAGTGAATCACATTTAGCATGAGCCGCGCCTATATTTGCGGCGTACCTACTGAGAGTACAGGAAGTGAAAGCCCAGCTGATCACCCGTGAAGATACAGGGGACTCGGTTGCGCTGAGCCGAAGCATCGCTCCACGGCTCTTGGGGTGACACCACGTCGGGAAGGCAGAACACTGCCGTACTGTACCAGGTCAAGCAACGTCATAGCGACGTATTGAAGGGTGCAAGCATGGCTGATTTCCTTTACCCCTTGGAAAGGGCGCAAGGGGCTGTTCCAGAACTCGCAGCGTGTTATGCTAGGAGTATAGGAGGCCAGCATAGCGATGCCGTCGAGATTGGAATAAGGTTGCCAACGTTCGGGAAGACCCTGCATTGGTCTTATTTATAGGTCGGCCGAGCCAAGGAATGATTAATAGCATTTCTCTCATTTGACGGTGCTTCCCACGAACCGTCAAGGTGCAGGCCGCGTCAAACGTTCGGGTGTGACCGGAGAGCCAGATCCTGAATGGCCAATTCGCTTGACCCACCCTATAGGCAATAGACACATCATTTTCTTGGCTATATGCCGCGTTCTATTCTCCTACGGGATTGGGCAGCAATGGGGGGTTCTCTTTTATAATATCGGAAATCACTATGCATGGTCGGCGTATTATCAAAGACAGACATATGGTGTGAACATAGGTTGGTGGGTGGTGTGGTGATATGATGTGATATGACAAGATTTAATCTGGGATGCAACAACCGATTACACAACCTAGTATCAAATCTATAGTTTGACCAACTACCCATCTTAATCATTGGAACATAATAACAGATTAGATATATTCATCTATACCCGCACAAACCACAAAAAGCAATTATCAGTTAAGAGGTATCAAAATCCAGGGGCATCTCCAGCACAATCTCCCTACAGCTTTGCCTCAACGGGCTTGCCCTCGCTCTTCTCCAGAATCCAAGCAATCATGTCCTTGCCGTACTGCTCCTTGCACAAATCCGCATGCAGCTGGTGATAGCCCCCCTCGTACTTCACAAACGTCTTATCCTCAAGCCCCTTCTGGGCCTCGAACCACTTCTTGGCAGCGTCGTAGCTGCACACCTTGTCCTCGGTCCCGTGAGCGAGCCACAGGCTGCGCACCTCCTTACCGACCTTCGCCTCCCCAGACGCCAGAACGGCCGTCCGGTCCAGTATCCCGGCCAGGGCCTCGAGCGTCCCCGTGTCGTGGCACATGGGATCATTCTTGATGGACTCGACCACCTCCGGCACCCGGCTCAGGTACTCGGGCGGCGGCGAGAACTTGAGCTTCTGGTGCGGGAACACCCTCCCCGCGAGCCTGCCGAAGAAGACCTTGAGGAAGCTCGGCTCCTGGCTGGGCACGAAGCCGATGAAGGGGCACTCGAGCAGCCACCCGCGCACCTGGCCGACCAGCTCCGCGTACTGAGGGTCGCCCATCAGCGTGCACACCTCGCCGCCGCCCATCGAGTGGCCCATGACGAAGAGGGGCGCCTTGCCCTCCCGCGCGGCGAGGCTGCCCTTGACGAACGCCGCGACGTCGGCGATGACCTGCGTCGTGGGACCCGAGTTGCCCCAGTCGGCCTTCTTGGGCGATGTGTGGCCCCAGCCGCGCTGGTCCCAGGCGAGCACCTGGATGCCCTGCTCGGCCACGGTGGCGAAGAACTCATTGTACCTGTTGATGTGCTCGCTGAAGCCGTGGACAAACACCAGGTGGGCTCTGATGGGCCCGGATGGCTGTTGAGAGTCAATCGTCAGCGACGCGCGGGGGAGAGGCGCGAAGGCCACAGGCAGGAGCCATGATACTCACCGTCCATGTCTTTGAGTACGCTTTCACGCCGCCCTGCAGCTCAAACTGGCCCTCGGTGGTGGTTGACATACTGCCTGCATATCCCGAATCAGCGCCCAACCAAATAACATGCTCGGAACCAACAGGCTCCACTTGCGATGACCCCCAACACGGGGTTGTTACGAACCAACAGTTTTCTACTAAAAGCCGGTATATCTTGCTGGGTTGGGCTGTGGAGGGATCTTTGGTGGGAGATATAGTAGATACGCGATTTGGAAATACTCAAGGTAATCCCTTCTTTCTGGGGGAAGGGGGGAGGGCCTAGAAGCCGAGGTGGCTTGTTCAGCTGGACCATTTCTTATAGGTCAATAGCGAACCTTGTAATTGCCCACACCCTTTTTCCGGAGGCGTCGGTCTCCATCTTCTCCAAGAATCTGCGATCCCTCTCTAGGCCTTATTGGGTAGTCACAAGCCATGACTTGGATTGCGGCGTCTATTAATGCAATTCACCCTGGCAATCGCCCCTGTTATGCGTACTATGCCGAGCTATGTGGTAATTTTGTCAGACTTTCTTTTATTGTCGGCATTGATGCCGAGGCATCTTCCACTCAATAATCCTAGACGAATACGTTGTCCCATTGCTCTCTACTTGCTGGCCACACGTGTACGTGAGATTATGCACAATGCCAACAGACGAGATCCAGCTCAGCATGCAATGCCGCATGAGTCTTGTCTCTCTTTCTTTTTTTCGAGTGGAGTTCTCCCACCGGGATGCTCAGATGTAAATAACTGCGGTTGTGAGAGCTGACGTAGCCCACCTAATGTACATGAAGCCTGTCTGTCCCGACGGTCTTGTCCTATCAGTGTAGAATACATGAAAGAGTGAAGGACTGGTTCTCTCAGATATGCAAGAGAAAAATCCGTTTAAAAAGCAAACATTACTATCCCATCTCTAACCGCTTTGTCCCCAAACTCCATGGTCTCCTCTGTCGAGGCTGGACATATATTTTTGGGGCACCTAGGGCCGCCTGGTGCTTTCTGTTGACTTCTCGTCAACTTCATCTCGATTCGCCTCTTCCGCATCCTCTCTCTCCTGGAGATCCTGCTCAATCTCCTCAAACTCTGTGATGTGTGAGTTGGAGTCGCTGCTTCTCTTGTCTGGGATCTCGCCTCCGCTCATCTGCCACTCCATCAGCTTGCTGAATGCGCTCTCTGGGTTGGCGGCAAGCTCTGGGTAGCTGCCGATCTCGGCCACCTTGCCCTCGTTGTTGAGAACGATGATTTGGTCAGACCTCTTGATGGTAGAAAGTCGGTGGGCAATGGAGATGGTGGTGTTGCGCCCACGAAGCAGGCCGGCAAGTGCCTCATTCACAAGTGTCTCAGACTCGGCGTCCAGTGCTGAAGTTGCTTCGTCCAGCACCAGGATATCGGGATCCTTGAGCAGGGCCCGAGCGATCGCGATGCGCTGCTTCTGGCCACCAGATAGCTGTGATCCTCTGGCGCCGACCTGAGTTTCCAAGCCATCAGGAAGGTCGCTGATGAAGTTGCAGTTGGCTCTTCTTGCGGCCGTGATGATCTCCATCCGTGTCGCCTGAGGATTGCCGTAGGAAATGTTCTCTGCAATAGTACCAGAGAAAAGCACTGGCTCCTGTGAAACCATTCCGATGCGTCGTCGTAGCGACTTGACATTCATTGTCGAAATGTCCACGCCGTTGATACTGATGGTTCCGCCGATTGGGTTGTAGAATCGTAGCAAGAGGGATGCCACGGTAGACTTGCCACCTCCAGACGGTCCAACAACGCACACATTGCTTCCCGATGGGATCTCGAAGTCGAGGCCGTTGAAGATCCGGACAGCCGGTCGTGTTGGGTAGGCGAAGCTCACGTTGTCGAAACGAATAGGACCTTGGGCCGATTTCACGGGGACACCAGTGGTTTGATGAATTCCAGGCTTGCGATCCTGCAGCTCAAAGAGTCGGCTTGCGGCGCCCACACCCTTCATCAATTCCGAGTAGAATCCGGACAAGCCAAACAAGCTGGAGCCGGCAAAAGCCGTGTACATCATGTATGATGTCAGCTCTCCAAGCGACATCTCTCCAGTCCTGACCAGGTTGCCTCCCACCATCAACATGGCGAGGATGGTCATGTTACCGGCCCAACCAGTTGAAGCAAAGAATGTAGCGGAGATCAGAGATTCCTTTCGGCCTAGAGCAAAGATTCGGCGAATCTGCCTGTTGTAGCGACCGACCTCCTGGACCTCACCAACAAACGCCTGACTTGTCTTGATGTTGCCCAGCCGTTCCTCGGCAATCTTGGTAAGGGTTCCTAGGTTTTTCTGTATCGAGCGACTGACATTGCGAATTGTTCTGCCATAGAAGAAGGCGCCAATTGCGATTGGTGGGAACATGAGAAGTAGCATGCCGGTGAGCTTAGCACTGGTCCAGACCATGATGGCAAAACCAGCACCACCACTGAATAGGGCCCTTAGACCATCGCTGAGATTCTGTGTAACGGACTTGCCCACAATAACGGTATCAGAGCTTAGTCGCGAGATCAAGTCACCAACACGGTTTGCGTCGAAGAATTCGGCATCCTGGACATAGGTTCGTCGGTAGAGCTGGGACCGAAGTCTGGCGACAACTCGTTCGCCCACAATGCGCAGAATCACCACTCGGCCAAAGGTAGACATGGCGCCAAGCGTAAGAATTGTTCCGAGACCGATGAAGAACTGGTTGAGAGTAAGGCCGAAAAGTTTGATGTCCTCAGACTCGTCCTTTGTGGCCACGTCCAAGATTCGACCAACGGTGAACGGAATAGCCATCGAAACACTTGACGAAAAAACCAGAAAGACGAGAGCAATCGCGAGCCATCGTAGTTCTGGCCGAGCAACCTTAATCAGTCTCCAGATCTCATCGAAGCCGGCCTGGCTCTGCATTTTCCCTTCTTTGGATAATTTGGCGCGGAGGTTAAGCTGGGCGGCCTTGGTCGCCTTTTCGCTCTTCTCGAACTCATGGGGTTCTTCCTTCTTTTCCTTGGACTCTGCCTCTTCAACCTTCTCCACCACTTCTTCTGTCTTAGAAGGCACCTGTTTTTGGAGCCTGGGAGCAGCCGAGAAAGACCTCCAAGGTCCATAATACAAGCCAGATCGATGGAGCGAGCCGGGGGTTGCGGTGAGCGCTGAAGATGGTCTGGAGGTTTGGTGTTGGAGGGAAGCCCGGAAGGTTGCTACCGAGAAGGAGGGGAGCGCCGGTCGCAGCGGCGATGTCGGGGATGACGACGAAGCATGGTATTGCCTCAGAGGAAGGCTCGAAGGCCCGAAACAGGGTCGCGAAAGTGTCGTCGAGCTCTCAATCGACCGGGGGAGCAGCGCCCGTCGCACTGCTCCCGAAAACATGGTGGAGGTGTGGGATGAGGAAGAAAAAATTAAGAAATGGCCGACGGCTCAGCGCGGCATGGTCGGGGGGAAGGTGATGAGGAGCGAATCCTTTGGTTTGAGGGGGTATCAAGTCGAGTCTGTAGTGGTGAGGGAAGAAGATCACTCCGTCATCATCGCGACATTCCGATGACGGTGCGGTTGGTAAAGTGCAAGCAGCTGAATGCGAGGCGAGCGCTTTAATTGTGTCGAGTACCTCTTCAATTACCACCACTAACGGACTTGGGAAGCTTAGTGAAATTTTGGTGGAGCTCAATTCTCCGAAGCCCCTCGGTGCTGGATCGGCTCTAAGGCGGCGCTGTCCTCTATGTAATGGTGTCGCCATAATCTAGCGCTCATCGCTAAGGTCTGAGTGACCTTTCGCTGCGAAATTGGCGAATAAGACAATGAAACGTGAATGAACATGGGAACAGCAGTTCAACCGAATGTTATCAGATCAATCCCTTCGGCACTCGCTGATAGTGGTGTTGTCCAACTTACAGGGAGGCACCTTTATCGATAGCGCGTGTCACAATGGTGGCATGAGACGAGCTTTGCGAATTGCATGCAATTGTGAACATAGTATTCTCTCCCAACAGACCTGCAACATTACCTACCTATGGATATCGTACCTATGAATGCCCTTCGTTCTCCATGATTGAGATAGAAATCTCATGAACCGCCAATCCCACTTCTGCAACTTAAAAAGATACACGCTCGGTTTAGGCCCGCAGCCACAACCGTTCCCCCTCATCTCTCGATTTTGAAATGGAGAGAAAAAGGGTTCATAAGATGACCAAATACTGCCCCAGCTAACCACCGTATATCACTAAATGTGAGCGAATTTTATTGTACAACGGCACCGGCCGTATGCTACTGCTGCGCGTGGCCAGATTCACCCCTCAACATCTCAAGGCGGCAGACTCATTATTTCAACATTTCGGCAACATCAGCATCAATCCCGTCGTCGTTACCCAAGTCGGGGAATTCGCCGTCGTCGATTCGGCGCCTCTTGTTAGACTCGCCGTAGTAAATGGGGAGACTTTGCTGGGGAATGGTTGTAGTTGAAGCTGGTGCGGTCTCCAGACTGGAATCGGCATGGACAGGCGCCGCTTCAGCCGGGGGAGGAGTCAGAGCCTCCATAGCTGGGGGAGTAAGGGCTTCCATCTTTGGGGGCGTGAGCGCTTCCATCTTTGGCCTCTCTGGCTCGGTATCTTGGTTATCCAGTCCCTTGTTATCCGGTGATCCATTTTGGTCGCTAGAGCCCAAGGCCTGCATAATTGCCAATTCCACCACCTGCTTCTTTTTCTCAATTTCTGATTTGCGCTCGGCCAGTCTGCTGGCAGAAGCCTTGTCTGCCTCGAGTGACGTGCGGTGAGTGTCCAAGAGCTTTTCCAGACCCGTGATAAGGTCTTCTCGTGCCTTGACACATTCCGCCACGGCAACCTCTGCACTTGCTAAAGTCTTGAGGAGGCCGTGAAGACGAGCGGCATAGACTGGCGCGGATGGAGCAGGTGTTGAAGTATCCGTTTGCTTCTCATACTCCTGGTCTGCTGCGGAAACGGTGCCCTTGAGCGGGCCACTCAATTTGGCAACTGACTGGTGCGCAGAAATCAATGGCGCGAATTCTGAGGGCATAGACGACCCTCCAAATGGCGATCCTCCAAACGCTGGCTTA